AAGGTGTCAGGGCTGGCTACATCCTCCCCTTTTTCTGCAACACTTAGAAATCTTACATGAAACACAGCCAGAAACACAGCAAGGAGGGGTGTCATCTTAACTCTTGGGATTTTATAGCTACTTCTTGTCAATACAGTCCACTTTTGGCTCGCAGGCGACAGGGCCAAAGATGCTCTGTCCTGTTAAAAACTCAGCTCAGTGCTTCCTCTCGAGCCCTAAAAACAGTTACTTGGGAACTCCCAGTTCCCATCCCCTCCCCACCTCTTGCGGCTGGTGCTGGGACACTGGGAGCAGCTGAAGGGAGCCTGGGGAAAGGCACATCCAGGCACAGCACTCGAGTCTGGAAGGCAGTCAAGGTGACCTGTGCCCCTGCCAACATAACCTACCCCCTGCAAGAGCACAGCACACAAAGCACAAACCAAGCCAGGTGGAAGGGGGAAGATTTTTTGTCCAAAGACAGCTGAGGGAGCCAGAGCAGTCTGCAAATGGAGTGCTATCCACATACCTCATGAAGGTTAAAATTTCTTCCTCTGTTCTCTTAAACATTGTCTAAGAGCCAAAGATTAAAAAAATACCATTTCTTTTACCATCTTTCCTGACTCAGAAAATGGTATTTTTTATCTACTATCTTCCTTTCAGAAAATATATATTGCATCAACATCAGGGTTTCCATTTCTCTAGGGACACCCATTCCCTTTATTTTTCCATACTACACTCACTTTTTGCCCACAACATAAATCAACAAGAAAAAAAGTCACTACAAGGAGCTACCATTTTTTCTGGGACAGCCTTGCACATGCTGGTTCAGCTGAGTACAAGGTGTGGTACAAGGGTAAGTTGTACTGGCTGTGACAACCAAACCCTTTGTGGGGAGAAAGCAAATAGCACAGCAACATGGGCTCAACTCATCCTGTATTCACTCCACAATGAAGGACCTCCCATCTGGAAGTCAATCCCAATTTTTCTTCCATTAGCAACCAGCCATCACACAAGCTTTGCTCTAGGTGGGACAACATGAATATGCCACATAAGGATTTCAGGCACACCAAGACACTTGGCTCTTTTATGTGAGAATAGAAAATAACATTTTAAGTTCTGGTATAGAAAGTCAACCGAGAACAGTATCTCCCACTGGTACAAGCTGTTCTAGGAAGAGAAGAAACAAGTGTCAGGACAAAGTCCAAAGCATTCCAAACAGAAGAAGGGAAGAAACCTCAGAGGGAAATTACAAAGAAAAATGGGAACCAAAAACTTACAGCTTTTGTTTTCCTTGCTCACCAAGGACAAGAATTTTTCAAGTTGCTAGAGTTTTAATCAGTGTTAAAAAAGATCTACAAAAGAGCACACACCACAACCCTGGTTGTCAGCCCGGAGGACCTGGCACCCTTGAACATCTGTCTTTCTCAACAGTCAAACTGAACAAAGGTCTTTCTCATTTCCCACATTTTATTTACTATTTCACATGATTTCTCAGTTTAGTAAGCCCTTTGCTTTGCATAGCAAATCAGCTATATTATTTACACTGTGCTCACCACCAAGATCCAAGAGTCCGGAAAAGTACATTAACAGAAGCCAACAAAATCTGACAAAGCCACAGAGATTTTTATTTTTCCATAACTAATCCTCTCAACAATAATACTCATTCCATGGTAAGTAAGGCCAGGGTCAGCATCAGCTCCTACTATATTATTAAATCAGTTTTGCTAAGAAGGAATCATATCATTAATTTTTTTACCCTAGTGGAGTAACTGCTGAACCACAGGTGTATGCCAGTAGTTCAGCAGCAAGAGGATGTTTAGTTTCTTAAAGCACCATCTGCATTAATAACATTCATTCTCAGTAGCATATTTACAATATAAAACTGATATTGCTATCTTCATTTATTTTACAAAAACCTTCATGAGCAAGAAGAATTAAATCTGCAGATTCCTTCTCATCATCTGTCTGCAGAAAAATAATTCAGATTCCTTGAAGTCACCTGCCACCTGGAGACCAACTCCACTGCTCCCTGCCTGGGCTAGCAGACCTCCCACCTGCCCTGAATACCATATTTCTGCAGTATTTAGCTGAAACAAAGCAAGGCAGCAGCTTGCTTTTTTCTCCCCATCTCCAGGATTTACATACCATGGCTTACATACTAGCAGCAGGGGTACAACAAAGGTTGCATCAAAGCAATTCCTTTACCAAGAAAGAGGTATACAAAGATTTCCTGATCTTCTGCTAGGGAGGCTTGCCTTTTATCAAAATTACCATCAAATGCCTTATTTAAAAGGCTTCTTATTCCAAGTCAAAAAATCTGTGCACACTGGAGCCCATTCTCAGTGTCTTTGGGCACTTCCACATCAATACCAGAAGCAAGAGTCTCACTGTTGGTGAAGCAGCTGTGTGAAAAACAGAGAGGAACTTCTCTGCTCCACATTAGGTCTCTCCCACTAAGGAATGGTGGGACTACAGAAAGGCAGTGGCTGTGACCAACATTACAGCTTGGGTTCCACCTTACTCCCCGAATTCTCTCTCATCTCCATCTTCAGGATTTTCTAGGACTGCTCCCCACCTGTAAGAATTGCATCTTAGCCCCAGCCCTACCACTACAAAAGAAGAAGAAAACCCAAACCTGAGTTTGTACACCTAAGCGGAACCCCAGCTCTATGACCATAGCTCTTTGCCTGCCCCTCCACACATCCCACTTCCACTCTTTTCCCCTCAAGAGTCTCCTAGTCTTCCCAGGTACAGAACCGAGATCACCAAGATGCTTCAGTGGTCAATGGTTGTCATCACAAAGACGTTCAGCTCGACCACGAATACTGTATTGGCAACAATGCTCCTTTAATCTCCAGAAGATGGTCCACCTCAATGGTTACACAACCTCCTGTGACTCCATGTGCACACAGAAAGACAAGAAATTACATAAATTGGTTTGTTGGTTGGTTTGGTTGTTCTGTTTTCGTGAAGGCTTTACTTTTTGCTGCCTGTCAGCACTGTCTCAGCATATTGCACAACGTTTTCTTTATTATAAAGAAAGTGTCTTCTGTATCAGACAGGAAGAAGGAAAACTTTCTCAGGAGGCTAATGCATACTATTGTCTGTAATTAGAGGTAAGTGGTTGCTTGCGTGGCCGTCAGGAAGTGGGCCCTAGGCAAACAAAAACAAAGTGTTACTAATGGCTTGTCCAGAAACAGAATATCCTCTCCCTCACCTAAAACAAACACCTTTTTATTCGTGGGCATTTCTTGTATGCTTTTTTGCCTGGTCTCTCAAACAAAAATTATACAAAACTGCCTGACCTTCCCTCCTCTCCCCTCGCTCTCATAACCTTGCCAGCTGGCAAACTTCAACCAAATTTGAGAGAAAGGCAGAAGTCTTAAAGGCTACCTACAGGCTTAAATGGCAAAAAAAAAGTAAAATGAAAGCAAGTAGCTGCTAGAGGAGCAATTCTACTGATGCCCAATGAAGGGAAAACTGAAGACTGCTCAGCTCTTTAACACTGCTTGGCAGCAGCCTGCAGGCTAAGCAGTAGCAACACTAAACCCCAGCAGCACACACTGCCTCTTCTTCAGTCAGTAGGCTGAGCTGAAGGAAACTGACAAGGCCTGGGAAAACATGTAACTTTTGTAGCAATATGAAAATAAAAATAATACAGTAAGGACAATGGAGGGAACGTAGCAGAGAAACCTCCAAGAGACTAGGTTTCATTAATTCAGGTTCTTAGAAAACACCTTGCTTCCTCACATCTTGGATTTTCCAACTATTTTTTAAAGCTCTTGAATCTCTACTCAGGTAGTATGTCAAGGCAAAAGCTAACTGCAAGCATCATAAGTTCTACTGGCACCACGTCCCCAAGTTCTTCTTATCGTCCACCCTCAGTTAGCTGTACCACTTATTTAATACTTAAGAGAAAGTTTTTTCTTACCAATGTGGATTTGTTAGAGTTCAGTCTGAAACGGCAAAAAATAATTTCTGCTACAAATCTTCCAAAGCCATGTAAAATTCCTGCAATGTCAAACAAGATTTAAGTAGTTACAAGTAGTATATACTGTAGCATTTACAGAAGTATTAAAGCAAAGCACTACATGATACTTAAACAGGACATGGTGCAGTAAACTAGTATGTAAAACACTGAGAAATTAACATAGAAAAGGAGACATGAAGGTCAGGGGGAACTCTAACATGCATCAACAAAGCAAAACCAAAACTAACAGAGCAAGTGTTTTTCCTTCTGCCCTGGCTTTCACGGGTGAAAATACACTCTGTGGGACAGAAACACCTCCTCTGAAAGACAGCTCTTAGTTCAAGGTCTTTTTACTATTCTCTCTTCAAGTGAAAGGCAAGAAAAAAAGAAATAACTTGTAATCAAGATATTCTATTATGTTTTGACTTATAAGTGAATCATGCCTTTTCAGCCTGGGTTTGTTTTCTTTGAAGCACCATATCCTCCAGTACATTGACAAGTTACACAAGAAAAATCTTCCCAGCTACCTCAGATGAAATTTTATCTCAACTTCTGGGCACTGACTTAGCACTGGATCCCAACTATAGGAAACACACAGAATATCAGAAGGCAGTATGTGTGTCTCTCTCTCCGAGTAATGGTTTTAAGCTGAAAGAAGGTAGATTTAGATTAAGTATTTAGAACAAATTCTTTACTGTCAGGGCAGTGAGACAATGGCACAGGTTGCCCAGGGAAGCTGTGGATGCCCCTTCCCAAAAAGTGTTCAAGGCCAGGTTGGATGGGGCTTTGAGCAACTTGGTCTCGTGGGAGGTATCTCTGTCCATGGCAGGGTGTTGGAACTAGATGGTCTTGAAGGTCCCTTCCAACACAAACCTGTCTATGGTTCTATGATACATATCATCTTCTCTTCCAGAAGTAAATAAACTATGCTATAGCTATCAAAAAGGAAACAGTCCCTCAGAGCAGCAGAAATGACGTACTGGGACATCAAAAATTAGCAGCTTTCATTGAACATCTGAGTGCACACAAATGAGCACTTTGTCTTACACCTGCTAGAGGTTTAGCAGTCCCCTGTAATTTATCTATAACCTAATAACCATGTCCAAGAAGAATTTTAATAGGATTTAAGAGGAAAAGCACTGATAGTTTTACCTGTAGTTGAAAAAATTCCTCCAATAATACCACAGAGTCTCACTAAGAACTGCCAAAAAGGCATGTGTTCTTCTGTCACTGTCACCATAAGGGAACTAATATCGTATTTCATGAATATTCCTGACACACCATGGCTGCCAGCTGCATGATTAATTACCCTTTCCTAAAAGAAAAGAGAGTAACAAAAGTAAGTCACTTCTTATTAATCACAAGTAAAACAATCTTACTAGATGTGATGACAAAGAGCTACTTAATCAGTTAGCAACCAACAGACAACCAAGGAACATCTAGGTAACTTTGGCCAGTACCTTTGAAGTGTCAAATATCACTATATAACTTCTTTCCCTGGCCAATGGTCTTTTATGCTGCATATCAGCATTGGTACTAACCTTTCAAGATTTGTTTACACGGTCCTTTAAACAAGAATGTTCCTAACTAGGTTGCTTTTGGTACCTATGTGGTTATGTGGCACAGCCTAGCCTGTGAACTGCAGTAAGTGCACAGCTGTAACCCAGTGCCTCAGCTCTCCCTACTGTATGCACTACTAGTAAACATTTAAATCAGGATTAAACCTTCAGGAGACATTTAAGTTGCTGAACAGCCTTAGTGATGACAGTTTTGCCAGAGGGTGTATATAAATCCACATTTTGTATCTAAGACTCGTTAGGCTTCATCCTCCTTTGTTCCTTGGAGCATATCTCTAGATTCACGTGCCACAGGGGATCTAATTGTTGGTTCTTAAAATTATCAGGGAAGACCCTCAGCTAGAGTATACCACCATGGAAATTCAGAAGCTTAAGCTAAATTGGACCAACACAATTTTTTCTGTCCTCAGTGCGTACTTGCACATATGCCATAAACCGTTAGTTTGATGAAAAAATAAGTAACCAAAATGGGAAAATATAAAAAGCTTCTGGGGTCTGAAAACCAAATACCAGCATCAAGCCTCTTCTCAAAAATTTTGCCAGTCAGGTCTTTTCAGACAATGGCCACACAGCAAGAAATACACCTTGATAAAAATAACAACTAACTCACCTTGGACTACTCTAAACAGATCAGACGTCTCAGTCCTAATCCAAGAACTGCTACAGTTTCTTCTCATTCGCCCAAATTCCTAAAGCAAAAGACCCCAGAGGAATGTGTGGCTGCTATAGATCCCTTTTTTTTTTTTTTTTACAAGGTTTCCAAGGAAAAAACCCTCAGCACAATCTTAAGATTCTTTCAGAAGTTTGCTATCATTTTGTTGTTAGTGAAGGTGATGATAAATGCACAGCCAGATAAACGTGGCTGAAAATATACAAGGGCAGCAGAAAAGAACATAACTGACTGAAAACAAACTCAGCTATGTTTAGTAAAGAAGACAGACAAGCAAGACTGAACAGAAAAGCAATATATTACAGCTCCATTTCACCTGCAGATTTAAGGCTTGCTGCTCAAAAGCAATGCAGAAGACAGTACAAAATAAAAAGCAGAATGCTGTTTTGGAAAATACAGACTAGGCAACTTCTCCAGTCAGCTAACACTCACTTAAACCATATTGTTTCTTTTTGCTACCAAACCAAAGTAAAAAGGATGCCAAATAATGTATTAGTTATGGTAACAGGTCACAGAAACTTTACAGTGGTTAAAAAACAAACAAAACCACCATCCAAAACCAGTATATCTCAAGACATTAACAACATTTAGCATTACAGGATGGATGCTCAGGCATACTAAGAAGAGAAGACTGGAGGTAGTTAAATAGAACCTCACCATTGGCAAGGGACCAACATTTTTTTTTCTTTTTTTTCCCTCTATCATTTCTCTGAGACTTACAGACCCTTTTGAGGTCAATTGGTGAAAAAAAGAACGCAAAGTTAAACAGACACCCAAAACTCCACTCTCAAACAATACATATTCTTTTTATGCAAACCATTTGGTCTGCTTCTAGCTTCTACTGCTGCAGAAGATTTAATTGTTGGTTGCTGAAACCTGCTAAAAATAACTACCCCTGCATCAATTATCACTGAAGCCTTGCTAGAATTATATCTTAACACAGATAAACACAGTACCTCAAACAACAGTGGAGATAATTCTGCCCATACCTTTCAAACTCTGCTTCCAGGCCGTTCACCACTGGCAATTAAACCTCCCTGTATTCAAGTTCTAGCCATGGCTAGCTGACCAGCTTTTTCCAGGTCTGCATGCATGCCTGTTCTTAAGAAACAAATGCACTACATTGCTCAGTGAATAACTGTTCTTACTAGCCTTTCACAGATCATCTGCTAGGGGTGTTTGGTTTCCAAAGCTAAACACAAACAAGCTTTACAGGCAGCAAGGCTGCTAACTGCTGAGACAGAGCAAGCAAAACAAGTACGTAAGGTCACTTCACCTCCACTGCTCACAAGATTTCTCCTAAGCAACCTGTGACTGTTTTGCAACTTCCATAAAAAATACACACCACAAAAAAAAATGAAAGAGCTAACTTAGATTGCACAGTTAATTGACAGAAACTGCCTTTACAGTAGGAGAGAAAAAAATTAATAGAAGATTTAAAAAACACAATAAGGAGTAAGACAGGCAGTTGACTGATGTCCAGAAGATTAAGGAGTGACCTTGTCATTGCAGAGATTGTACAGCAGAGAAAACAGGAAGCAGATTGCAAGACTAGAAATGGGAGTACATTGCATTATGAAATTCCTCTTCATTCTTCTCTTTAGTTCAGCATTCGTGAGTTTTAGAGTGAACCTTTCCCTTCAGCAGTTTGCACTTCCCAAGCTGAACACCAAGACATCACCTTTATCCTGCTTCCCCTCACAATGTATTTTTCAGAAGCAAAGCATGGAATTGTGAGGAAATAAAGACTTTTCTCCCTTGGAGAACACCACAACCTGTATTACAGCAAGCTGCCATCCTAATTTCTGAACTTCCTTTCAACCCAAGGCTTCCTTCTTGCCTCTTGCTTTATCTGTTGTTCTTAATTCAGTTTTTTGCCAAGGTTTTTCTTTAGCTTTTGAATAAGATCAAAACAGAGTTCAAAAAGATCAAAACAGAGTTCTGGAAATAAGATGTGTAACTGGCACATAGGGCCTTTTTCTTATTTACAGCAGTCTTTAAAATTAATACCTTATGATTTTCCCATATACTATGCAGCAATAACTACTTCCTTTATGGATTCAGAATTAAAAGCCTCTCCAAGCACAAAAGTGGAAGCTCTCTAGTCTGGAGAATAATTGAAGCTGGTGGTTAACACCAAAGGCTAAACGAAACAGCTGAGAGGGAGAGATGCTTTCTGTATGGTTAGGTTTTCCATACAAACCACTTTTGTTTCCATTTCTAACACGCCACAACTAACTTTATTACATTCAAATGAGTTGCATTTTTTGGCTTGCTTCCTACATAGATAAAAATCTGAAGGTAGGTTAAATAGTTGTAAAACTACACAGAAAATTACAGACATAACTTACAGGACTTCACCACTACAATTAGCATCCAGTGAAGTGGCAATGACTGGGCATGCATCATTAATTCTAGTATCAGACTCCATATCTATGGATGCAAACCACTAATACCAGAAGTTAGCAGGTGCCACCAATCATATATACTTCACCCTCAGTATTACATTCTTTACAGATAAATCTAGTTCACTGGAACATTCTACAAGGACTCTCTTCATACTAGAGGAGTTTTCAAAACCACAGTACAACTAAGTCTCTATTTTCACATTTGAGCTTCTTTTAAGAACAACCACTGTTAGATTTTTCTCTTCATTGGTTCTCTCTTACTTCAACTTACCCTTTCTGTCACTGAGAACTGATGAGTTTCTGCTGAAATTTTATACGTATGGAGTTTGGTTGGCACAACTGTGATAAAATATTGGAACATCTGGTTGTCTAAAAGAAAACAAATCTCACTGTTGAACTCAGTAGAAGACCATCTGAGACATTCATAAATAAATCAAACAACAAATATTTGAAACAGTTCATTGGCTAAGCCATTTACACTAGGGACATTTTTCAAGGAGTACCAGCACTGCCAGTACTACTTCAGCACCATCTGCATCAACATAGTTGGATTTCATGGGCCAGGCCTATGTCATATTTGTACTCAGATAAATTTACCTTTTACCTATGTAATGAAGAGATTCACTGAGGTCAGGCCACTCAAAGCTTCACAGGAAATGCACAGATAGTGTTTTTCAGGGTACCAGAACTGAACAAGTTTCACACAATCACAATACACACATCTTTACACTGGTTTGAATTTATTTTAGCCACTTGAATTCCTGTAGTAGCCTCACAAAATACACCATGGAAGAGACAAACCAAAATGGGAATAGAATCAAAAACTTCTGATGCTATTTTTTTAAAACCAAATTTTCCCCATGATGACAAAAGTCAGATCTATGAATTTGCACTGAAACAAAGTGCTGCCGAGTTCTTGGCAGTTTCTTCAGACATAGCATAAGATCAACATAACACAAATCTGGAAGAAACTGGAAATCAACTTCAGCAAAACGGCAAAGAACAGCAGAACTGAGATGAAAAAGAAATTGTTAATTTAAGATGCTATTTGTAAATTACAACATTCACAAAACAGGATAATATTCTAACTATAGTTATTGGAGAAATAAACAGTATTTTTTTATAAACACTTACGATCTGATGCTATCTTTTCTGTTCCATCCAAAGGATTAATAATTCCTGGAATAAGCTCTCCAAATGACAAATGGTCTATTCTATGGGAGAAGTTATAGGCTGAAAGACAATAAAAACAGGAACGAAACAACATTTTTAAACTATGAAATTCCATACTCTTCCTCGACAAAAAGATGTACCCATTTCTCACACTAGAAAACACATTAGAGTATTTCAAACACTAGTGTGCATATAATTGGATATATGACTACAACAATGTATCTACATACAGGTTTCAAGCAAAACCCAAATCCAAAATATTTAACAAATTCAATTGCTCTAGAAGAGAACTTATAAAATAAATCATAACTATCTGAATGAACCCTGGAGCTGAAGAGAGTTAAAACTTGACGACAGCAAATCTCTAGTTGGCCAAGTAATTAAGTTATTCTACAGCTCAGGCTCTTGCATGTAACGGTATTTAGACTAAAATTTCACAAATTAAAATGTACAGAGGAAGTATAAGGCAACTACCAAATTACTACATTGCCTAATTTTGCAAAGGTATTCAAACTCTGTAATGTTATACACTTGGGCTGACATAAATTCATGGGCAGACATCTGGAGGTTTAACCAACACAAAGTTCATTCTTCCTAATAAGTCACCTTTGCCTCACATTAAGTATGGCAGCAACACACATCTAGGATCTAAACTCAAGTTTCTAAGGACAAATGCCATATTTCTTGAAACTTTGAGACTTGAGACTTTGTAGAAAATAGGTAGTTTGGACTAAAATACAAGGATTTCTTACGGTATCTGTGTCACAATCAAGAATATCTGAGATTCCTGTGTAGAAGCAACCTAAAGATTATACTAACAGTGTTAAACATATGAAAGTAAGTCACTAGTGGATTCTAACATTGCACAGAATATCCTTCACTTTCTTCTACAATGCATTTCCCCAGCTAGAACACCTTTACAATAGCAACCTCTGTCAACATAATAAGAAGGGGACAGCAATCTGACCAAAATTATACTCCTTTGTATGGAGAGGACAGAAAGAACTTACATTCGTGGCTTACAAGGGCTGCCAAGTGTGCATGGCCTCGAGGGTGTGGTATTGCCCTAAAGAAAGCAAGATATGGTTCATGAAAAATTTGTTTAATGAGTCCATACAAAAGACATAGCTTTCCTAAACAGGACTCTGTAAAAAAATCAACTCTCACCCACTAGCCAATAAATACCTTAGATATATTTAAAATATGTGCATATAGATAACACATATTATTCATATGCTTTAGATTACATACATATTTTTATAAATGTTGTGTGTCTGTATTTAAGAATATTAATTTTTTATTACTGCTGAGTACAGACAGCCTGAATTACAAGGTACAGGAATGCAAGATCTATTAAAACCTCCTTACACAAAGTCACTGTCTTGCATTTTTAGAAATGTCAAACACACTGACTAAGCAGCCTACTAGAAGAGTCACCACGACCTATTACATTGAAAAGCTGAAGAACTGCTCAAGTGGCTAACAAAAACTTTACCATACTTGTTCTATGAGTAAGCAAACTAACTACACTCTGTATTTTCTCTCTCACTAAACAAGTTAACCTCAGGTCTAGTAGTTGTTTGTAGACCTGCAAAGAAAGTACAATGCAGAGGCTGCTAAGAGTGTGAAGAGGGAAGGGGAAAAGCCAACTCTGGAAGGTAAAGCAGTCTCCCAGCCACACTTCATCCCTAGCAGTCCAGACAATAATATAGGAAATTTTCCCTACTTAGCTTAAGTTAAATCATTACCAAATGCAGGTTAAGTTTTGGACAAACAGAGGATGGAGAAAGACAATGAGATCAGTCAAGATAGGACTACAGTAAATAACCAGGCAATAAGGTACAAAGGCGGCCAGTGAGAAGAGCCATTAAAAATACCTACGAGAAGAAAAAGAACAACTTAGCAGAAGTACAAATGCAATGATGAGCAAAAGGAAGCAAAAGAGAGCAAGATTATCCAGAGTTGCAGAACTAGGGACAAGAAGAGAGAAGAGATGGCAGTACAGGTAAAACGGCTGAAATTATCAGCTCTGAAAAAGGGCCTAAGAAGTTGAACATCTGGGAGGAAATCAGAGACGTGGTACATGACCAGACAGAAGTGACATTTGGAGAAATACCCACACAAAGACAGCAGCTGGAATTACATGTAAGTTAGAGAGTACAGACTGCATGCTAAGAGGTGGCAAGAAGACAAGTGAAGACAGCAGAGCTGGAGAGCACAGAGAAAAGTGAACACAAGTTCACTACACTTCATCCATGTTAGTGAACTGTGTACTAACAGAGAGGGGGAGTTTGTAGAGGTCCAAAGAACAAAGGCAAGTACAAGCAATTCCACTCCACATCATACACTTACGGAGGACCTATTTTCAAGGTTTCATCCTGTAAGACACTAGAATTCATAATCACTACACTGCATGCACTAACGTACTGCATTGTCTTAGTAAATTATGAAGAAATTTGCTTTTAACTGTACAAGAAAAGATACCACATGGAAAATAATACCAAGCATGTGTACAGGAAGGTTCATTAAAAGACAACATTAACTCAACAGTGTAAAGGCATACACACACAAATGCATGCATGCACTATATATAGTGTAGATGTCAGTTCTTTTTTTTTAATTTTCAGGAATTGAACAGAACATACTTGCCCACAGTTATGTGAAAGTTCCCTGCCACTTTATTGACATAGAGATGACCATGAATTCTGCATGCATCTGGAGACTGTAATGAATTATCTTCCCTGTTTAAACAACAACAACATAAAGAGGACTTGAGAATATTCACTAACAGAAATAAAAGCAGTACAGTTAGATTTCTTTTTCCTAACATAAAGATATAGCATTATCATCTACCTCTCCTTACCATAATCTTCCAGACTTACAGCAGGGATGGTGGAAGTGTGGGAAAATAATAGAGGTCAGTCTGATGAAACCAGTAAGCCTTTGTTCATACTTGTATTCAGAGATCTGGCCTACAAAGCTAACTTATGATACCTGAAGAGGTGAACAGAAAAACTGAGACCATAAGTGTATCTTGCTGCCCTGAAGACTTTTTTTTCCCAATTACTTCAACCAGAAATGGTTTGTTGGAAAATTTTTAATGCTACAATGAACAGAACAAAATAATTAGTCACATTAACAATAATGTAGCATGAACAGCTTTCAACATTGATTTTTCATTAAATCTTCCCTTTCCCACACTTGTTGGGATGTCCACAACTCAGAACATATTTCCAAATATGCTCCTTAAAGGAAGATGAAAAAAATCCATAATTTTAAAATACATCTCAAGCATAAATACCATCTCAAATGCTGCACTAACAAGTATCATAGAGGCACAGAAGGACTGAATGAATCTGAAGACATCAACTAAAACAGAAAAAGGTTTTTTAAGCCTCTTCTGCCTTGCCTTAGGAAGAAAGGATGTAAGCTCAGTAAAAAAGACTGGACTCAGGAGAGTTAGGTTATGGTTGGACTCAATGATCTTAAAGGTTTTTTCCAACCAGAACGATTTCTATGATTCTGTGATTTAGTCCTCAAACATGGAGATTAAACACAGAAAGTGTATACAGCATTTCTAGTGTTTGTTTCATTTATGGCTTGGTTGTGTGGACTAATTTTGTTTGTTTGCTTTTAAGGGGAAAGAAACTTCAGTTTTTATGTGGAAAGCATCTCTCCCTGGGAAAAAAAAAAAAGTATTACATCACATCTAGATTCAGGCAGATCAAGCTTTCTATGTATTGGTCTCAGGATTTTGCAGATAGCTGAATGAAGTGTAAACAGCAAGGTTTCTCCACACAGTTTTATCCATACTACCTCCAACCAGGGCAATTACTAACAAAATGAATTTTTATTCAAAGTTGATTCTTTTAAAACCATAAAGTATTAAGTCACAACTAACAGCAGAACTTTTTCCCTCCACACCTTCTGGACAGGAAGATATTCTTTGATTCTAAAAAAAGCTTCTTGCTTAGTATTGCTTTGGCATTACTAATTACCATTAAGAAGAAAGAATCAGATAAAACAGACTAAAATGGTATGTCTGTTTATTTATGTGAGTCTGTATTATGTATTATAAACAAATAAATACAAACATAAAATCTGGAAACCTTCTCCAGCTTGGAAACCCCAGAGGATTTCATTAAACAAAGCTCTCCAAAGCAAGTGTCAAGTATACTATTTTAAAATGCAGTAAAAAGCAGTAAGGTCTTTTCTTACAACTTTCATCTTCTGGGGAAAAAAAAAAAGGACAACACAACCAAATACAATGTGAAGTCTAATTAAACAGCACAAGGAAAGGGGGAAATAACAACACAACATCCTAATTTTTCTTACCGTGGTGGCAGTGCTGTTGAAGCACTTTTAAAAGCACTTTTGAATATCACATCTTGAAGAGAGTGTTCTTCCTGCAGCCTATTCTGAATTCTCTGCAGCATCCTACAGATTACACAGGCAAGTGTGAAAACACTCAACAGTAAAACAAGAAATAACTTCACAATTAATTATCAGCTTCAGTCACAGATTATAAATTGAGAAGTTAGCAAGGATAATGTCAGTATTAAAGTGTTACATTAAACTTTGTGAATGGTATTTCATACAGAGCCTAAAGCTCTGGTGTTCACGGCAGTGTTACCAAAATAGCAGTACTATCCAGACTCCCAGACTCTCAGTGTCTCAGTTTTCATCACACACAATTCTAAGCTATTCCAGTTTAAATCATAAACAGTGTATCAAATTCAGTTCAATTCAAAGACTCAAACACATTTTTTTTTGCAAGAGTGCCAATTTGATTACAATGGTTCAGCTCTGACATTTAGCTACCAAGCTGTGTTACACATCTGAACCCGTAATTAAAACTTGTGCTATCAAGCATTCATTTGGAATCATATTTGAGCAAGTTCATACATCTTGGCTTGCAACTGCATAACCCAATGTCACAAGTAAGTCCAAAACCAGTATTTTCCACAACAGAGATCTCAAACCATAAGAAAAGCAAAGTAAATGAATATATTTTCACAGGTGTGCACTCTTGAATTAAAAGCATGAGCTTTTAGACCCAGACATAGCTCTGTTTTGTGACTCTGGTGTAGCTCAAAGCCACTTCCAGTACAAATAATATAAACCATAGGCCTGCATCTCAGCACTTTACCTTTGCCATTCTTTTTGTTGTGGGCTGAGATCAAATACTACCTGAAACAAAAACAAGACATCGAATAAAACATGCAGGAAGCACTGAAGTCCCATCCATGAAAGTCAGAAGAGAACTGGGGAATGGGAAGGAGTGGGGATTTATAATCAACTTCATGCTTGTACCATACACTGGAAAGGTCATTGCACTTTAAACAATACACTGAGTGTTCCAAGTATGGAAATTTCTGTCCCTTTCCCCCCGCCCCCCCCAGATTATTCACTTATTTGTATTTATAACTTCAGCATCTTTTCCCAAAGCTCTTGAAACTTGAGTTAGCAGGCTCTGTTCTAGACTTTGCCTAGCAAGTCTAGAAGAAGAGTGAGAGGAAATTTAATTCTAAGTGATGTAACTGGCAAGCATGGTCTTGATGCAAACAGCAGTGAAACAAGCAGAGGAGCATTCTTTGAAAGACAAGGGTCCAGGTACAGATTGTTTCTTTCTAGGGCCAACCCATATTGAGAACATCTTTAGGACAAGCTACTGGACCTGCTATGCCTCAATCAGCATGAGAATAACACCAGTAACACCCGTGCAACAAATTCAAATCTGTGTATTGTTAACACTGATGTACATCAGACAGTACATTAAGTTGCAATTAATGCTCAAACCTACCAAGGACTAAGGGGACAAAGAACTCTTTATAAGATCATAATCACTGGGCCAACCACCAGTGTGCAGTAGCCACAGCAGCACAGAGACAACTGTCCAGACAAAAAGAGGAAACGTTCCAAGGACAGCAAACAAACAAAAGCAAGCTCCTTCCCAAGTGCATCCTTCCATTCAGCCATCTCCTCCTGCTCACACATGAGCAGGAAGTAAGGCAAAACTGTTATAATTTGGAATATGGTTCAGTTATTACACAACATAAGAATTACAGTAAGGTTATGTTCTCTAATAGGTTTTCTGTAAAAGATAAATTATTTTCACACAGCATAATTACTTCAAAGCTTATAGTATTTTTCAAGCAAAACCACTTCAAGAGCACAGGCTTACTCAGTTCTAGAGCCTTCTGTTCACAATACAGAAATCAAAAGGGTACTGACACAAAGTCTTTAATGTCATTCTATATTATAAGTGTATCATGTTAACTTTCCACTCTTTTTTCAGAATCAAGAGTATTCTAATTAAAAAGGAGTTACATCGATCCTCTTTTTACAAGAACTCTGATAGTTTTCCTTCCAGTTCAAATACTGCTAGAATGTATCCTTAGAGTTTGCACAGGTAAAAATAACTAGCTGTAGAAATCACTAAGGTG